TCATTTGACAGCACTAAAATAAATACATATTTTGAAATAAATAAGATGCGCGTTAAATATCGCATGCGATTTATTGTGCAGCCCTATATTAAGATGTATTCACTCAAACGAATTCAATGTGCAAAGAAAATGGTTAGAAATATTAACATTTTAATAGTTATTTGAAAACAAACTGAATATATAGAGTACATTTCTGAGAATTCTGCTTGTGTTTTACACTAGATTTTGTAAAGGATTTTTCTTTTTCTTTACCACGGATACTCTTAAATGTCATTGACCCAGAAAAATCTGACCTGCGAGTGAAAGCCTTCCAGATTGCCTGATTTATTACTATTTGTTGCTGTAGCACACACATTCAACTGTCAATAATGGGGTTGTAATTTATATGTGTAAGTGCATATGTGAACTGTACGAAAGTGCAAACAGCCAACCAAAACAAAACTCATCTTCTCTCATAAACAGCTGCCTTTAACAGCATCATACACTGCTCTGTAGTATCCACTCATAAGAGCTCTCATACACTCTTAAACAGTTCAGGCACAACCATCTGGCAGTCGGTGCAGATTCAGGGTTATCCAGGGACGCGTTGCTGCTATTTTTCAGCACCTGGATCTGAATTATCCAAGTTTGATTCCTGTATATGAATTGATTAGATGGAAATGGTCCAATAATGGCACAGCCTCTCTGCAAGACAGCTGAGAGCTTTTATTGAACATTCAAGAATCCAGAGATCTTATCGGACATTTCTGTTTGATCAGCGCTGGCCCATCTACCCAATCTTTAGAAGAAACGGAGCGAAAGAAACATCTACACCTCATTATGAAGGGTGCAGGGCTCTTTATTAGAAGTCAATGATCACCGCTTGCAGGTGGAGCAGGTTGAGCCAGATGATCCGCTCAAGTTCTACTGCAATCACGGAGCGCTCTCATATCCGCTAAGCAGCGAGAGTACTGCATTCCAGGGGTAAACTCATCCCGAGGCAAAACACTTGAGCTCAGAGCAGTGCGTGCTACTGGAACAATGATGAATGGTCCAGCACACCATAGACGGCCATTGAACCAGGGTCAAAATCAGAAGTGTAGAAGACAATCGTTATCACCACAGCTGCAAGGCGGAAGTATTTTCCACAGAATGCCATCGTTTTAAAGGATTATTCCAGGTTCAGTAAAAGTTGAGATCAAATAAAAGCAATTGTGGGATAATGTTGTTTACCACAAAAACTATTTTTGACTTATCCCTCCTTTTCTTTAAAAAAAAAAATCTGGTTTACCATAAGCCACTTGTGAATGGGGCCAGTTTATAAGCATTAAAAAACACTCACTATTTCAATATCACAGCCACGAGACATTAACAATACATGTGTTAACATGATATTAATGTAGAAAAACACTTACTAACATTTTCTCTGTAGTAAGTTATGTCCAATTTTACAACTTTGTTGCTAAGACAATGTAATCCTTAAAACTGTTTTGTTTTTTTCCTGTGATGCAAAGCTAAATTTTCAACATCCATTATTCCAGTCTTCAGTGTCACATGATCCTTCAGAAATCATTCTAATATACTGATTTGCTGCTAAATTTCCTATTATTATCAATGCTGAAAACTGCTATTTTTTGGAAACAGTGATACAGATTTTTTCAGGATTCTTCGATGAACAGAGAGTTCAAACAAACTGAATTTATATTATTTTATTTTATTATTGCTTTTGTTTTTTTTTTGTAACAATCTAAGCCTTTACAGTCATTTTTGATCAATTTAACGCATTGATTTCTTTAAAAAAAAAGAAACATCTCACTGACCCCATACTTTTGGACGGTAGAGCGAGTTTTTAAACCCCCCCTTAAATTGGCCCGGCCCATTTACTACCATTGTAAGCAAGAGCTCCATATGAAAAGGCATTATGAATTCAAATGAATGTCTCTTTCCTTCCAGGCCATGAGTGACAGCAGACATAAAGCCTGGCATACACAGACTGAACACAGCTACTGGAACTCTCCCATTTTCACTGTTGTACTTTTAAGCTTCCCGCACAAGTTTGATCACCCTGACAGAGACGTGAGGTCGACAATCTTATTTTTCCAGGCTCTGCAGCCCAAGGTATTTTCAATGGGCCTACAGCGGCCGTCCTTTCTTGATCTGAAACAAACGTGGACTGGAAAAGAAAGGGCCATGCCAACTGAAACCGCTTTGAACAACTACACAAACGGGCCAAAAACTGTATTGGCCATGAAAGGATTAAAAAGCCATTTTCACCAGAATAAAAATACTTTAAACATCTAATCAGCTGAAAAAATGACGAATGAATTTCCAAACATTTTCACGCTTATATGCTTTCTGAAGAAGGGCACTAAAATAAGCTATGCAAGTGGACGTAAATCAGTACTTAAGCGTTGATCTAAGACCTTGATTATAAGTCACTCCGAATGAATATGACAGCTCGAGGGGAATAAAACAGGCACAATGTGTGAATTTTGAGTAGAAGCACCTCCGTATCTTTCTCCTCGGCAGTCAGGGTCTTTTCCACAGAGTTAAATCTTGCAGAGCCACGCTTGGATGCCAACTCAAACAAGTTTACCCAAACCCTGCCAAGGGTAGATGAATCAACTCAGCGTGAGGTTTGGAAAAATGCAGTAAGCTCCCTTTCCCATCAAACAAAAACCTCAGGTTAATGTACAACCTCTTAAAAGTAATGCAAACAAACCTTAAAAATACTGACAGGGCATTATGTAATGGCAGCACACGGAGGGAAAAACAGTCCTGCAAATGAGGGTGATGGCCAGAGGGTTCAATGAGTGGCAGAAAAGTGGCGAGATCTCACAAAGACGAGCTGGCAGAGCATCAACCGAGTGGGATGGAGGTCAGAGAAGAGACCACCAGGGTGACAGCAAGATTACTGGGTGTGTTGGAGGGATAATCTAGGTGCCTGACAGTCTGCAAAGCAAGGATGGGTTAGAGCGACCACAATTAATGGCACCGTGTGTATATGTGGCCTGTTTATTGGCATGTCGGCTTATAAAGGCAATTGTTTAGGACTATAAAGATGGAGCAAGTGAAAGAAGAAGAGATTACCGCTGCCACGCTGTGGTTCACGCTCTAATCCAACTTTAGCGTAGGTCCGCGGGCTTTAATGGACTGTTTGCCTCAACCTGTTCATTAAATCAATACAGCAAGTATTATTACTGGCTGCGTCTGGTGCGCACAGTAGCCTTGTAATTAAATTTCAAAACTTTGATGGAAAAGGCTTAAAAAAGGGAGGGAAAGGCCTGCTTATTTTGGAGGATGGACACCATAGATTTAAAGAACGAGACTGTAGTCTGAAATAGAAAGTAAAGATTGAGGGGAAAGGAGTGAGAACTGCATTTGAATGTTAGTAGTGACATAGTAGTATGTGTGAAATAAAGGCAGATTGTGAGCAATTACCCATCTCTAGTCGCTTCTCCTAATTTCCTTTTCACTAAACTCTAATCGCTTTTATTCGAGCCTCATTAGGCTCTTTGACTGGATGCATTTTTCCCCCATGCAGCACTGAGATCTAAACTAGCTAAACAGATTTGAACTACAGCAGCTAGCAAGAGGGAAAGAGATTGAGGGGTGTTTGTTGAAGAAATGCTTAAAGGGACAGTTCACCAAAAAGTGAAGATTCTTCCATAATTTATTCAAAATGTCATCTTTTGTGCTCCGCAGAAGAATGTAAGTTAATTCTTAATCGCAGCTGCATGGTGAGCCCAATATAATTGACATTTTTCAGTGGCCTTGTTTTCAAGAGTTTTTCTTGTTTATTTTCTCCATAGGGATTCTTAAAATGTTTGCAGATCTCAAAAGGTACAAGACTGTGTACTTAACATCTTTTATTAGGCAATGAACTACACAGCCCATGGAAGCACTGCGAATGACGCAGTCAAATAAAGAAATTACAGTATAGCAAAAAAACTAGACATTTACTAGAAAATATTTGAAGTTAAATGCAAAATAATATGTTGTTTGAGCACTGCTTCATGAGAGTAGGAGCTGAGGAAAAAAAAACTCATGCAAAGTTTAAAGCAAATCTGGACGTTTCTCTTCTTTTTGCCTATAAACAATGAATGGATAATATTAAGTTATGGGAAAGTTCACCCAAAAATGTCATTAATTACTCATCCTCATGTTGTTCCAAACCCCTAAGACCTTTGTTCGTCTTCGGAACACAAATGAAGATATTTATGATGAAATCTGAGAGCTTTCTGACCCTGCATAGACAGCAATGCAACTACCATGTTCAAGGCCCAGACAGGTAGTAAGGACATTGTTAAAATAGTCCATGTGACATCATTTTTGGGTGAATTATCCCTGTAAGGCAGGCAAAACTGTTTTCTTCCATGCTAAACCATGTCCACAGAGTTATACCTACTAAGCTGAGAAACATCATTAGGATTAAAGTTTGCTTCTATTAAAGTTTTAAATGGTATTTAATTATTCTTACTTGGTGAATTATCATCATTCGCCTCATCTGATATCCTCTAGGCCTCTGACGCTTTGAGAATTGCTGCTCTGAAATCTCCTTTTGACCACAAAGAATTATACATGGGAGACATAACAAAACCAAGACACAACAGTGGAAAATTGCGGTTGTCTACATTTCAGATTTTGTCACAGGAACTATTGTAATACTGAGGAGACAAATGAGCAATGGAAAAATACAAGTGTTTGCAGATTTACATTGTTGAGATGCTAAACAAACTTGTGTATCCTGTTACTGCTGTGTTTGTTTGTTCTCTCAGGCGACTGCTTTATGTCTTGACTGAAGCTGGATTTCTCGATTATAATGTAATATCTCATGAGAATATTCTGTATTGTATATAACCATCTCCAGCAAAAGTCCAGATGGCTTCTACTTACCTACAATCATGATTGGCCATCGCTGTTTTTCATCTTTATCTCTTATTATATCAAATATGACACTCTGGTCAAATTATCCGAAATGCTGACCTCACCGCACAAAGGAATCATCACCTCTAAAGCCATCAACCACCTGCTGTCCCGTGAAGCAACTTTTCAACAGCAACATTCTGGACCCTAAGGATTCATACATGGTAATAGTCATCTCAACACATCATGAAATTCAATTAGCTGATCTTAAACAGCACCACTGCCCCTGAAACCTTTGAGCTTGCCAGTCTCAACACTATGTCACCAGATACAGCCACAGCTGCTCTGCTTTACCCTGAGACAACAGCAGTGTAGATCAGGCTCACAAATGAGCGAAGGTCGAACAGCCACAAGAGTAGAAGGAAATGCAAAAAAATCTGTGTAAAAAATATAGAGAGAAATAAAATCAAACAGAATTTAAAATAAAGGAACGATAGAGCCATGAGAAGATTGGAAATCAGGAGTCAAGGGCTCTCTGGAATACTTAATTCTAATTTTTTTTTGAGAAATGAGCTCTAAACTCTACACCATTTTGTTTAGATCAATGAAAAATTAAACACTAAAAGTTGGGTTAAAATGGAATATGCATTTATAATGCACACACACCCAAAATAAGTAAATTAATAAATTAATGTTTTTATTTTTCTTATCTTTAGCTTGCTTCTTAATCTAGTTATCTAATAAACCTAGCATTGTATATTACGAATATTGTTGGCTCTTGACGAATTGCGAATGAAGACGAATGAAGAAATGCATAAATGTAATAAAGTATGAAAAATGGATATTAATTTTGAAATTTGTTAAAGATTATGCCTACATTTAATTACTAAATTATTCATTTTAATTCTGTAGATGACAGCAAATAAGGTAATCTAAATATATAAAACGGGAGAAATGAGGATGCACACTTAAATATGTAATATAAACCGATACAAAAAAAATGGATAGTGTAAGCATTTCAAGGATAATGTAAGCATTTCACTACAAGAGGGTGAAGGGAACCAAACTGGATAATACAATGCAATTCTGGAAAAATTGAGTAGAGGAAATGAAGAAAAGGCTGATGCCTCACACCATATGGGGTGAGAATTCAAACAAATGAGGCATACTGGCACCCCACGTCCACAGGACCGAGATTTCAACCCGTATTTGAGATTAAGAACATTTATAAAACTGGTGATGTGTTTGTTTAGTGACTTTACTAATTGTTTTGCTTTAATAGAAAGGGGTTTATTGGGCATAAAAAAGGAATTTTAAGGAGGTTTTATCGAACACTTGAACAATTCACATAGATATTTATCACCATTTACAGACAACAAAAAAGGTTTGTGTGCTCTATTGCCGAATGGCAAAGACTATGTGTAGGTAGTCGCAGTCTGGATCCCGTTTCCGGTGTGGCACTTTTTAACGTGACCCCACCAGGGGGCTGGTCTTGTGTTACAGGAAGCTGTTCCCCAGGTAGCTTCCTCTACAAGCATCAGTCCAGATGTTCTCCAAGGCCCAGTTTATTAAACATGATTAGTCTATAGGACAAAAATCCCATTCAACACAACGGTGCATACAATTGGTCCGACAGGTGAAGAAAAGTGTTTTCTGCAGTTTAATGTGGAGAATGTAACACTAGCTGCACCTGTGAACATAAACTCTCTACCCTGCCAAAAAGAAATACATAGCACACAATAAATCCATATGATACAAATGAATTGTTTTAGGTACTGAAGAGCTGTCCAGTTCAACCTAACCCTGAGCTGCCAAGGCACGACTCAGGAAAATATATTTTTTCCTCCGAGAAGAGAACGTAAACACTATAGATTCTCTCAAATGTGAAAGTAATCAAGGCACATACTGAAAGAATGATATGCTCTTGATGACACTGGGTGATTTGTTTGTCTATATTTTGTCCTGAGTGGGTGTAAGTCCATTTCTCTCCCATTTGTTCTGAATTAAACTTATATGTTCCAGACCACCTATAAGAGACACTTTAAATGCATCAGACCGCAAAGTGAGAGACTTATTATCAGATGTGAACACGAGGAAACTGACCTCTGGTTTTAGTAATGGGTGGACAATGTACACTGGCTTGGAATCGGTTTCTTACACTTTGATGGAAACAAAATCTGTTCTGAGATCAGTGTAAAAGTGCAAGTGTAATAGTTCTAATGGAAAAGCCCAAAGGTCGATACTTGAGTGCATTGGGTGGAGAGACCTCAGTCCAATACATACAGAAGGGTCATTCTTATCCCAACACGCTATAATAGGGACTGTCCCGAACAGGGTTTGGTTTGCACGCCCTACTCACGAAATCTGTCGGATGGCCAGAACAATGAACAGAAAACTAGAGCAGACTGCTTCCATGAGAAATTACTCACGGGAGAAGAAAGAAAACGGAAATTTAAATAAAAGGCAGTTTTCTCTTTCAGCAGTGTGTAAATAATACACCATTCTATTCTATAGATAAGCTTAGTTAAACAGGCATGTTTTTGGAGTGTTTGTGTTGGGGGGATAGTGGTTGAAATTTAAACTACTAAAAATATACATTCATCAATCCAATCTCTCATTCATGACCAGTGTTGGGCAGTAACGCATTACTTAGTAATGCATTACTGTAATTTGATTACTTTTTTAGTAACGGAGTAATTTAACGCGTTATAATTTTCAAAATAGTAATTAGAGTATAGTTACAAGCCGAAGTCTCTATACGTTACTTCCACGTTACATTGCTGACAGAATGCAGTGTTTTATAATCTAGAGATTGTAAAAAGGATGTAGCACACGCACTGTCGAGACAAGTGCCAGTGGATTAGAGACCTGCTCCCGTGAGACCCGACGAAACAGAGTGCGGCGCGGGACAAGATGGTTGTCTCAGTTTTATAATAAATTACTGCCCACTCCAAAGTTTCCAGTTGTATAAAAACGTTAATGGGACAAATAGTGTTTCAGTAATTAACTGAAAGTCTACAATGTCTAGGGCAGAAAATACTAAGACCAGTTAAGTCCTGTCACTTAGTGGATCAGAACCAGTAACCATTGGTGGTACTCATGCCAAAATACCAAAAAATCTATCCTACCATAGTCCAGTGAGACCATAAGGAAATATGCTGGAATGAAAGTTACTGCAAGGGTACTGAAAAACCAACTGTGCTGCTGTGTGCCCTAATTAAATGGCTCTCTGCTAAACCTTCACATCTTCTGGTTTCATAGAATTCTTTCTAATATCCCTTTGTTTCCAAGATTCACTGTATGGTCTTCCTTTTTATTCCTGACTTTATACATCCCTCTATGTGTGTGGCAAAGCTTATTTCTCTCTTATTGTTTCTTTGTCTCATTGTCTTTTTCACTCTCTCTCCTACTTCTTCTCCATACTGTGAACCCACATACCAAATTCCATCAAACACTGACCAGCGACTCTTTCCAAATATACGTTAAATGAACCAGCAACAATGTGGAATTCCAGTATTTATCTAACAAAGTTTGTTCTGGAGGGTATTTTTCAACAGATGCTTCTGTTGGAAACGGACATTACGGAGGTCCTTTGAAGTCTAGAATTGCTTATTATTGGGGAAAAATGGAAGAAAAAATAACACATGCCCTAATTTTCATTTCTTTTCCACAGGGGTAACAACAGCTTGAGAACACAGTTGGCCCAGTTGCCACATGGTCGCAACAATTATCATGGCAACAGACTTAAACCAACATTTCAAAAGAACAACAAAGCACAATTTTACCGTCTGCCAAGCAACTCTTTCTGCAAGTCTCCATGAGAGGATAACATCTGCTAATCGTGTGTCATAATTACAAATTGTCTTGGTGAGTGAAATTACAAATTTTCAATGCTCCACAACCATGAATCTTTCAAGCAAGATAAAAGACCCAAAACAAATATATGCAATACTTCTAAATTATGTTTCAAGACATATTGCTATAGCCAAAGGTAGCACTGAGTACAAATCTTGATTTTCCATTTTTTCACCAATCATTGAATCAAAAACACACAGTGTGAATAGCATTGTCCAACCGCCACAACAAATGACTCTTATCGATAACTCATAATGACTCTTATAAGTCAGAATCAGTATACACCTTGTATATTTTACAACATTAGTCAAATATAAGCAAAAATGGACATAACTGAAATATAGCCAAAGAAATTACAGTCAAACCAAATCAGAATCAAATTGTCAGCTTGTGAATCATAATTTACAATAATCGAAATAAGAAAATCGAGATGGATACCCAGCCCTAGTAAAAGTTTCCGTTACATTTAGCATTGCAAAACTGAAAAAAATCATGGCCATGAATTATCAGAGAAATAATCACAGAAACACAAACAAAAGGAAAACATAATGATTCCTACCTCAAGGAAGCAGGTCCCTGCTGACGTGTTCTCCTTGATTGAAACATTGTAGAAGCTGCTTTCAAACACTGGCTCATTATCGTTACTATCCTGGAGGTCTATTTCTACCAGAGCAGTGGAGGATAACGGCAGTCGTCCTCCATCAGTGGCCACTACTTTGATACTTGGCTTTGGGTCCGTCTCATAATCCAGCTTGGTTGCAGTGGTTATGATACCTGTGATGGGGTCAATGGTGAACCAACTGGCGAGAGTCTTCTTGTCTGGTAGGATGCTGTAGCGGACATCACCATTGGGACCTTGGTCTTTGTCCCTGGCAGTCACTTGCAGCACAAAGCTACCTGGGTAGACCACTTCTGGTATGGTCTGCTTGTAAGCCTGTTGGTCAAAGAGAGGTGGATTGTCATTGACATCGGTGACATGAATCGTGAACGAGGACTCTGCACGAAGCGGCGGGGTTCCAGAATCAGTAGCCATGACACGAAGCTCATAAGAATCCCTCTCTTCCCGATCCAGAGTCTGGTCAACATAGATGAGGTAGATGATACTGTCTTTGGTGGTCAGGGCAAATTTCCCATCACCTCCTTCAAGAGACACGTTGACATTGGAGTATTCGCCATAATCAGGGTCCGAGACAGAGATTCTTGCAACGTATTGGCCCGGCTGAGCACCTTCTGAGATCTGGGGCGAGCCGTCTTCACTGAGAAAGATAATGGTCATGGTTGGCTGGTTATCATTGTAGTCTCGCACATGGATTGTAACGAAGGCATTGGTGATCTCTGGATGGCTCGCATTATCTCTGGCTTGGACGACCAACTCATGAACCTTCCTCACCTCATAGTCTAGAAGCTTATTGAGCGTAATGATTCCAGAGCGAGGGTCGATGACGAAGTAGTGGTCCGGGTCACTCTGTCGCCGGTTTATCTCGTACAACACAAGACCGTTGTCTCCTTCATCAGCATCTGTCGCAAAAACTTGCAGGATGTTGCTTCCCTGAGGAAGGCTCTCAGAGATGATGGCATTGTAGCGACTCTGGTTGAAAGTCGGAGCATGGTCATTGATATCCTGCACCAAAACATCAAGAGTCATCTGACCAGTTTTCCTTGGAGATCCACCATCAAAGGCCTCAAACACCAAGGAGTAGGAGGATCTCTTCTCTCGGTCCAAGACTCCATTGACCACCAAGTCAAGGTAAAGGACTTTATTTGCTGCTCTTTTGGTTTCAAGACGGAACACTTGTCCTACATTGCCTTCTTTGATCTGATATCCTTGTACAGTAAGCTGATCCTTATCTGCATCAGTGGCTGGCTCAAGAGAAAACTTAGTTCCCACCGCCGTTTGCTCTGGGATCTTCAAAGTGGCTTTGTTCTTGGGGAATGCCGGGGCATGGTCGTTGATATCATTTACAGTGATGGAGACCTTGACTGTGAAACCTGTCATAGTTACTGCTATAAAACTGTAATGGTCCCTTTCCTCTCGGTCCAGTCGCCTTGCAGTCTTGATGATGCCTGTGGTTTCATCGATGTGGAGATCACTGCTGATGCCAGTGCCTTCGTGATCAGAGATGAAGTATAGAGAAGCTGTAACTCCAGGTAGCAAACCAGCGCTAATGTCACCCACTATTGTCCCCGCAGGTTGCTCCTCATCTAACTGGAGCTCCAAAATACCTGGTGTGCCCTCACCGCCAACCATTACAGTTAACAGTTCCACTACAACGCAAAGCACAAAAAGCATCCTTAGCCTCCAGAATACCCACATCCGGAACTGTCCACATGTGTTTTTCCCAAAGCCATTAAACAGAGTCATCGTGCCAAGGTTTCTTTACACCTGCAAAACAGGAGAAGAGCAGACTGTCACAATAGCATTAACACAGCAGTGCACAACATTATGACATATATACCAATGCAGATCTACAATTCCCTCAACTGCCTCTCACAGACAGCTGGAATGCATGAGAAAGGGGTGCGTTTGCTTCAGAAAGGAGAGGCTTCCCCCAGTCAGGGCAGTAAAAAGTAAGCGGCTTTCACATGTTGTATAGGCTCTTATTCACGCACTACGCCTTTTCAAAACACACTCCACATGCATATCTTTCCCATTATTCTTACGTGCCTTATCTGTGATACTTTCAGATAGTCCTAACCGCTTTAATTATGTAGTGTATAAAACATCAAAAGATTATCCTATAATAATATAGACATCTCTTGTGAATCGTTTTTACATAAAAGAGCAATTAATCGTCATTTGCTTCCTAATGGAAAATATATTTTCTTTCCAGTCATATTCCGATTGAGTGCGTACCATCAGATAAATTATAGCAGAGATAAGCCACTTGTAGGCATAAAAAGGAAAGAAAACGTAACTTTATTTAGTCTTGAACGCATATGACCTTTTATTCCTATTTTGAAAGAATAAACTATTATTGGAACATAATAATAAACCAATAATGTCATTATAAACAGCTGTACTCGAATGACTGTAAATAGCTGCCCGCAACGTTACAAATATGGCTTAAAGAGACTTTGGTACCAACAGTAATGGCAAGTGGCACAGAATCATTCATATTTGGAAGAGTGGGCCCCAGGTGGCAGGATGAGGCCTTCTTCCTTGACACTACAATCCCAACACAAATGTTTAGTTAGGATGTTGACATAATATTACAGTCAGTTCAAACCAAAACCACCCAAAAAACATTAAAGCAGTTGATTGTTAAGAAATCTTTAGTCTTTATTAAAACCATTTTAAAGAGTAAAACCTAGCCACTAATTCTGAGCAGAGAGAATTATATTACTCAGACAAAAAGGCCAGACAGGAGTTTGGAGCATGTGTTTGGAAAGCATCTCTCCTCTTGTCATATGTGTGAAGGCTGAATCCTCTGTGAAGCAATCTGCTACAGATGGTCAGACTTGGGATGATATTTTATACGCCACTGAAGAAGTGCACTAGCACAATTAGGAAATTATACTACTTTGGCTGGAATCGCAACAAACCTCAGGAGTCTTTGCACTTGCACTGACTAGAGTTGCTGTTGGTAAAGTCTGTATTATCCAAACCTCAATGCATAATGATGGCAGATCATCACTGTGGGCCGTTGTGGTCTCTATACATAAGTGGATTACAAATGCAATTTTTCCTTGTCAGTTCTGTTTAAGAGTTCTCCAGTGAGACTGAAGGAAGAATATAAATATTGAATCTGGACTTCAGTGTCATTTTTTTAACAAGGAAGAAGCCCTCCAGATGAAACCGCATGATTGTTTTCATTCATTGCAAAGCTGTTCAACCAGGTTCCCTCTAGTGGCCACAATGAGTCAACAGGTTTGTGAAAGAGGTAGAAGACCAAAATATTTTAAAAAATAATACTTTTATCGCAAATGATAACACTACACAGACATAAATATAAAGCCTAAACCAATATTTTTTTGTGTGTATGGACACTTCTGAGTGGTTTGGTGCCTCTAATGGTTGGCATTTACAAATAATTAACCCCACAAACACAGTTGACCGGCAGGGCTCCATGCTGTCTGTCCTAATCAACTATCTAAGACCTTCATTAACATGTGATACGTTCTTAGCCTGTCATGTGTAAAGGGTCACACTAACACACAAATCACATGTCCAAGGACATCCAGGACAAAGACCACAATAATCATCAGTACTGCATGAGTGATCTGAAACACAAATCATTAGTCACAGATTGTGTCGAAACTGATTTGAAATAGGTAAGTGATCATTAAGGAGCCAAAAAAATCAGTTCTATCTGGGGTTAAAACCACAAACCTGCAGTTCTAGGATCAGGAGACCCCCTATAGGTGTTTTTGTGAAGTGTGGTCAGCCCAATGTTGAGTCTAATGAAAGCAGCAGAGATTGTGGGGCACTTGGGGGCCACTTTGAGCCAATTTAAACAGATTCTGAGGTCATGGAGGCCCACGATGCATTGCCACACAATGTGTCTCATTCCTATATTTAACGGTTTATTAAAATACATAGCATAAAGAGGTTGTCGAGGGGGCTAGAGGAACTGACGGTTTCCCCATCATGATCGCACAGAATAAACAGAGGCCAGACTGAGTGATTGACAGAGGCGTCTGAGGAAACCCTGTGGGGGGCCGGCAGTCTTATTCACCACACAGCATTTCTGCATAGGCACAGAGGCAAACTCAGTGTCATGTCGAACCACAGAGGATTTGAGGATCTTCCTCATAACATTCAAACTGCTGATAGCCTTATTATTTTTTTAGAAACATTAAAATGGTAAGAGATTGCATTCATGATGAACTATGAAAATGAGGCAGAAACCATCACAGAGTAGGATATATCAGTTTAAGAAACTTGGCTCTATTTGAGGGACGAATGAGAAAATCTTTCACCAAAACCCATGCTTAAGATGGGTCTGAAATGACTGAATACGGATGAGCAGTTGCCACAGTTTCCGCAGACAAAATTGGTATGGAATTCACTCCCGCTCAGTTTTCAGTATTTAGACAACCACAGCGCCAGACCTCCTTGGGCTTTCTGCTTTTAGCCATCCAGCTGTCGTCAAGAGGCTGGAGTTGGTTGGTTTAACGGTGAAGGTGGCAGGCGGGTCTTAGTAAAAGTTCCTGACTGATATGAGACTGGTTTAGTTGGTTTTTATGACAGTTGAGCTATGCTAAATCTGAAGAAGCAGGTGACAGGTGAGCAAAGAAGGATCATTTCAGTTGGATCATTTGTCTGAATCTAAAACCAATTCACTGAGCATCCATTAAAGAAAAAAAATGCAAGAAGTATTTGTGTTGGCATTGTACAAATGTTAATGTTTTATAATACTGCCGACAAAGTCCAAATTTCAATGATTTTTGGGAGCTTGTTAGATATTCTACATTTTGTAATTTAAAAACAGATTTAAATTGAGTTTTATACATATCAAATCCTTAAAAGCTTCAAATATTAAAATGTCCAATGTAAAATCCTAAAGCAAATCCAGTTGAAAACCACTTACTGAGACTATCTGTGTGCCCTATCAAGGAATTAAACTACACTAGACTTGTAAAGCTCAATTCTCTACAAAGATAGCCATTCATATAGTACGTTTGTAAAACCCTAAAGCTATGAGGTCCTATAAAAACCCTTATCAGCGTGCTTTACCAGTGACTCACTCTTTAAGCTCATGGTAGCCAACACACGCTTTTTAGCTGTCATCTGTACCGCATTTGAATAAAGACCGAGATTACACTTCTGAGGGCAATTACTACTAATTTCTTCAGCGTGTAAAGACCCTCAGTGCACTTAAACAAAACAGCTTAAGACATCAAGAGTGAGTTCAAGGTTGAAGCCGATGCCAACTCTAAATATCTTCTAGAGAATTTGCCACTGGTTCACGGGAGGTTTACCAGCCCCAGTGCACTACATAGGAAAAAGATAAAACCCCCAGCTAACATGGGATGAGGAAATATCTCACGAGTAAAAACAACCTCCATCATCAGGTGAGTGAATGAAAAGTTTGACCTCCAGTTTGGACAACAATGATGTAATCCTAAGGAAATGGAGTAATATAGCTTTCCGGACATTTCTCTCCACACAGGCACACGCTAGTTTGGTTTTTATGATCTCTCTGTGGTACAGGTTTAATAGGATATGAGGTTTCCTAAGAAAGTAACTGGAAAGATGGAGTTTGTCACTGTGGCAAAAAAAAAAGCAAGGTAGAAATGTTTCCAAATTTCCTTCTCCAATCAGAGGCAAGTCCAGAAATAACAAGGTTTGGACTAAAGCAGTGACCCCACAAGTTCAGGTGAGACATTTCTCATAGTAGACACCCCAAACACACAGATTCCCTCATAAATTGGTGAAAGCTATGCAGGTTTTTTTTACTCAGTTTTCAGTGTTTTTTTATTTTTTATAAATAAATATAAAAATATATGCAAGATAAATTATTAATCATATATATCAACTACATCAATTATTATATTATTTAATTTATTATGTATACAAAATTACATTAACAGATAAAAATAAGATTATTTTGCCACTACCTTCCAAGCACACTGTGTGCTGCTCTAAGAAAGAGAAAGCTGCATTGAATAAACTAAACAACCTGCGGTCTCCCTGTTATGATCGGGGTCGGGTATACAGCGTGCTCTTTCTCGAGGAATGAGATGTAACCGGAAAAGAGAGTGGGTGAGAGAGACAAGATTTCTGAATTATTAATAAGCAGTGACGCACTGTTTAACAAATGTTGAACACTGAGATGCCACATCTCAGGTTCCCATGTCTCCAAGGTTACAGCACACTGTGCCACCATACACACTAAACTGGGTATTAAGACCGCTTGAGATAAAACACTGAAGTCTCTGACAACTGCTTCAGATTCTAAGATTCTAAAGAATAAATATTCTGTGTTTGGGTGGAATATTTTAATACTAGATTTAACGACATGTCAATTTCATGAGAAATTTTGTGACCAATACAAACTACCAAAATGTTTTACTTCTAAGACGTTAATGGGCTAGTTAATGCTAAAATGTATAAAATAGATGCTTGTCTAAATTAGAATTACAGAGAGGCCTACGCCCAAAGCAACCCACCATCGGCTGTGGTACCTTTCTATTAAGGAAAAGGAACTGTGCCTCAGTAGAATTTTACACTAACTTGTCCAAACTCTGACCTTATCTACAAGCAGGCATGTTTCCAGTCCATTTGACAGTGCTGATGCTTGAGAATGGCTACCATTACTGGCCACGAGAGGTAAAATACGGCACAAAGCCACAGTGCCACCACGCTGAAGTTCGCTACTCTGAATAAATATGCCGTCAAGAGCTTTTAGACACAGACCAAGCACTGAACACTCCATTTGG